CACCTGGCTGCGGGATGCTGTAGCCGAGATAAGGCTGCCTTCTGAGCTCAACATTTACTTCAGAAGCCCCCTTTTGATTCAACTTCGCACCCCCTTTCAATTGTTAGTCTCCTGAATTGTACACTGTCAGTGACAGTAGGGGGATCCTCATTCTGCAGGCCTCCTGAAAGCCTCAGGACCCCTGGGTACCAAACTGCCCGTGTCTGTAATTCTAAACTCGTTTTCTTCCAGTTTTGGTTGTTGTTGCGCTTAGTTTTTATAAAGGAAATATAAACTTGCTAAATATTAGTATGTTGAGCCTACATTTATATTATGGATGTTGTCTGTTATTATTATAAATGGTATTGTAATTATATTAAATACTATATGATGATATACATTATGATAACAATTTCCTTTTTTTATTAGTTATGGAAAGACAATTCAATTGTTAAAACAGGTTTTTATCACGAGATTGTGACATAATTGGACCCGCTCCTTTTTTTCTTTTATTAAATGACTTATTGTTCTCTGTTCTTGTGATGTATGTTGTGTTATATAATTTAATTTTTTATTTTATATTTATATTTATTTTATATTCATGGTTATTTACTCTATATGAATATATACAAATTAATAAAGTTATAACTACTACTTCAAATCTAAGCTGAAGCAGTTAGCTGATTATTTAATGATATAAGGATAGATATATTTTCATTGGTCTATACTTTTGCATTGATGAAATATTTATGTGTTGGTGTTGTGTTTGTTGGTTTTGTGTTGTTGTGTGTGTTGTGTGTGCTGCTGTGTGTGTGTGCTGTGTGTGTGTCGTGGTGTGTGTGTGTGGTGTGTGTGTGTGGTGGTGTGTATTGCGAGTGTTGACTGATGGACAGGGAGCTGGGTCGTGGGAGCCAACTCTTGAACACGGAGAGTCCACCAATGGGACCACGCCAGACACCTCCACCTACGACCCCCACCCTCGCCTCACCCCACCCATGCTCCTCGATCCCCTGCAGCCACACGGTGACTCACTCCCACCAACTCCTCCACTCCTCCCCCTCTCACCCTGCCCCCATCGCGTCTCTGCGGCACACATACCGAAGGCGGCGGGGGCGGCTGCTCCTCCACCTCCCCACCTTCTCATCCCTGCTCCTCCTAAACTCACCTCCACCGCCACACCGGCTCTCCGCACCTACTCCCGCCCCATCCTCCCCTCCAAAACATCTCCCACCATCCCCTCCTCTCCTGTTGTAGCCAGCTCCTCCCTCCTCTCTTCTTCTTCTTCTTCTTCTTCTTCTTCTTCTACCTCCACCACCCTCTCAACCAAGACCTCCACCAGCCTCACCAACGGGAACACAAGGCCCACCCCCATCTCCACACCCATCACACCCTTTCACACACCAGCCAGTCCACCTGGAAGACAGGTAACACACACACACACACACACACACACACACACACACACACACACACACACACACACACACACACACACACACACACACACACACACACACACACACACCATATTATCCAACATTTATTATTATTAGCATTTATTTCTCAACAATTTCAAAAAAATATAATATTTAGGGTGATGTTTTTCTATAGTCACATGACCAACTTGGGAACTCTTTAGTAGGGGGCTAAATTCCTGATGAAGGAAAGAAAGCAGAGTATGTTGGTTGGCTACAAATATAATGGAAGATCATTTGGCTAAAATGCCTCTTAGTTAGTTGCAATTTGTTTGACAAATTTAAAAGGGTGATTCTTTTGAATACTTGCATTTATGGCGATTGACAAGTCACATTAGGACCCTTAAACCCTGATGAAAGGCAAAAAAGTGGAGGATAAATATATTGGTGAATAAAACATGGCACGACATCTTTAATTTGGTTATGTTGCATTTGTAACACATTAAAAGTTATAAATCTAGTTGCTACCCTCCAAAATGTGTACCCTGCAAAGGAAAGTAATGAAAATGTTTATGGAAATATAACCGCCCTGCTTTGCCTAGATGCAATCTTAGGTGCGTGGAAGGCGATGCCCTTATATTAACTAATAAGTGTGGAAATCAAATTTAGATGACAGAGCGACTTTTTGCAAACAAAAATTGTTTGTTTTGCATTTCTTAAAACATCCTTTTACTTGTTTATTCTTTTGGTTTCCACCCTGTGTACACACACACACACACACACACACACACACACACACACACACACACACACACACACACACACACACATCACTATCTTGCTTTAGGAAATATAACAAGACCTTCTCACTCCAAAGCTCTTTCTCTCCCCCCTCCTCCCTTTGTTCCAGGTATCACAAGTTCACCCTGCGGGCACACCTGGTCTTGTGCGAGCCAATCAGAGCGCCTCCCCAGTGCGGCAAAGGGTATCCCAGCAGACCCTGCTCCTGGGGAAAGGTCTCAAAGGGTGCGGACAAGACCAGGTGCTGCTCAGAGCTCAGATGGTAAACATAGACGCACGCACGCACGCATGCGCACACACACACACACACACACACACACACACACACACACACACACACACACACACACACACACACACAATTGTTTACTCTCTTGCTTCTTTCCTGCAGCTGATTCTTACGTCTGCTATGCGACCTGCACTCTCCTCTTCTTCTTCTTCCTCCTCCCCCGCCTCCTCCTCCCCTCTTTACTCTAACCCTGCCTCCGCTCAGGTGAGCAGCCGAGCAAATCCCACCTTTGTGCATGTATGATTTTGTATCCTCTGTTTGCTAAGCTCTGCTAGACCTTGTTGTATGACTGTAAAGCTTTTATATTCTGTTGCACACATTAAAATTACTCAATTACCTTCATTTATAATATTTACAACATTGGGCGTTGGATTTCAGTCAAAGGATCTTGTTGTATCTAGCCAGCAACTGTGTTGCCTCTAAACAGTAAACAGTAAATGTTACCCATTAAGCTCAAGGACCAAACACTACTGTTGTTAGAAGGAACGCTGGTTTTCTACTGTTATCCAAACATGCTAATGATTAAAGCTAACGATAAATTAAAGCAGAAAGTAAAACGATGTTTTTGGGATCTGATGTTTTTTTTATTCTGTCTTTCCTTCTGTAGCTCCAGAGTCTCACCCTCAGGCCTCCTCCCCCCGGGGTCCTCACCATCCCTCCCTCACTCCGCCTGAAGACACCCTGCTCCGCCCCGCCTCCCCTCTCTCGCCCTCACGCCCCCATCTTCCCCCCCCTAAGGCCCCGACCACAGTCTTGCAGCACAGAGACCCCCAACACGCCGAGCCGTCACCTCTCCGTCCCCCCGCCAAGTACGTCCCTGCAGAATAACCCTGGGTGTGAGAGTAGAGGAGGATCTCAGGAATAACATATTCATTTATATTTACTGAGGGAATATTAAACATCAGCAGAGAAAGAGACTAAAAGTGAAAAAAACTTTACATTAACCTGTCCATTATTACATTATGATTACATTGGTAAAACTACTGCATTCCATCATAATATCATAACATAGTTTCTCTGCTCTACCAATCTGAAAAAGAGAAATTCTGCAAAATAATTTTTTTCATTTCTAGCAAAGATAACGGGATCCTCTTCAGGTCCCTATAAGTAAAAACAAATAAAACAGTGTTTCAACTATTTATCAATTCCTAATTCTCTCACATCTCTATCTGTCAGGGATAGATAAAAAAATGTACGTGCAATTTTATTATATGTTTGTTTACATAATTATCTTAATACTTTTTACTCCCGTTAGCTCTTTATTTCACCAATAAGCCATATGCAATGTTAGTTTTGTTCTGGTGTGCACTTGGATTGTGAATAGAATGTATTTTTTTCTCTTTTTAATGTTTTCTCTTTGTTTATTCTTCAGCTCTGTACTCTCCCGTGCGAGCCGTCCCGCTGCGCCCCCGGCTCCACTCTCCAAACGGACACCGAGTGGTGTCCTCTCGTCAAACTTCAACCTTTCAACCCATTGCTGCAGCCCCCGTCTGCCAGGCCCCCCCCACTCGCTCGCCACTGTCTGCACTGAAGAGCTGTCCGTTAACCCAGACTCTGCTCGGCCAATCACAGCACAGTTCCTTACCCGGGACCACGTCTGCTTCCTCTCACTTTGAGCGCACGCCGTCTGCGGCGAGGCAGCTGCAGATCATCGCTCTCTCCTCGGGACGCCAGACCAAGCCTTGCACGTACCCCCCCGCAGCGTTAGCCCCTCCTACTGTGGAGGCGCAGGAGAAGCCCAGCCAATCAAAGAGGACGTTGAGCGGCGAGCACGTCCTTCCTCTTCCTCGTCCTCTGATCCCCTCTTTGCCAAAAAACAGTTCGCCTCCATTCCTCCTGAGTCCGGCTTCCCCTCCTCAAACACAAACTCTGCTCCGGAGAGGAGAGGGGAGGGAGGAAGATGAGCAGAGAGAAGGAGGAAGAGGGAGAGAGGGAGACAGAGAGGAGCTGAGGGGGGAGAAAGACGACCAAAGAGGGAAAGAGAAACAGAAGCTCCATCCTGAGAGGGAAGAAAGCATTGTTGGTCAGAAGAAAGAGGAAGAGGAAACAGTCAGAGTGGAAGAGCACATGGAAGTGACAGAGGAAGGCCAAAGTGATGGACAGAAGGCGGGGAAAAAGATGGAGGAGGAAGGAGAGAGCGCCATGGACCAGTCTGAGAGTCTCCATCAGGACCAGAACTTAGATGCTGACCCTGTTGAAGACGAGGAACAGAAACCAGTCCTGGGTCCAGCTCCAGAGTTTCTGCAGCCGGGCGGTCAGGAGGACTTCAGTGAGGACATGTCCACTCAGTCTGACAACCAATCAGGTACCTCCTTCTGTACACCTCTCAGAGCAAGCTTCACCCCAAAAAAACAATAATTTGTATTTACAGGATGGCCGAGTTCCTACTAATGCTGTACTGAGTGTCTTTTTGTGTCATTCAAAGCGTCATATGCTACATACAGTATCTTCCTGTTTTGGATTGACAAAATAAGACACTTAAATTGGATCGAAAATGTTTTTGTTTGTTTGTTCTTTTGAAGATGAACTATTTATTAATTTATTTAACAACTTATTGACTCTGACATGTGTTTGTTCTTCTCCCAGCGTTATCCAGCCTCTCCTCCCAGTCTCCCCCCTCCTCACCCTTCATCTCCCCCTCTGGAGAACCCCATCCTCCCCTCCTCCCCCCTCAGCCTGCCCTCCCTACTGACCTCAGCCAATCACAGCCCGAGACGGAAAAAGTTGCGAAATCAAACGGCGACTCGCAGCCGCCAGAAACGGAGACGGAGCCCCTCGGCCAATCAGGAGACGAGTCGGAGAATTTGGACCAATCGCTGAGTAGCCCCTGGGAACCGGGGGCGTGGCCGGAGGGGAGGCAGGTGCTGACTCACCTCGTGGAGGGCTTCGTCATCCAGGAGGGGCTGCAACCTTTTCCAGTATGCACAAATACACACACACACACACACACACACACACACACACACACACACACACACACACACACACACACACACACACACACACACTATGAATAGAAAATGTATTCAAAATTAAGTGCAAATGTATTAGCATCAAAATATACCTAAAGTTACCAATGAACAAGTCCTTACTATGCAGAATTGCCCATTTCAGAATGATATACAATGGATTACAAACAGTGTGTACCTTGCACATTAGCGTGTGATTGAGCACCTTTCTGTTCCTGCAGGTGAACCGCTCGTCCCTGCTGGTTCCCGCGCGGGTCTCCACGCCACAGGAAGTGAACGGGACCAACGGCAGCGCAGCACTTCCTGTGACGGACACAGAGAAACCAGATGAGCACTGCATCGAGTCAGAGGGGGAGTTGGGGGGAGACGCAGAGGACCCCGACAAGAGTAAGTCCTTATGTGAAGATCTAGTTTATTTGCACATTTTTAAATACACATAACAAATCTAATAGACTGCAGGAAGAGGCAGAAACCCCACCAGGCTTATTTGAATTATCCACCTAAACAACAATAATATTTCAAACAAACAACTCACAGTGATAAAAAAAGATCTGAAACCCTCCCTGCACATATAAGGAGCAATAACATGAAACCCCTGTTTGTTAAAGTTAAAAAAAGTTGTTGATCCTCTTTAAACTAAATATTAATTGTTGTCTGCAGATTTAATGTCTTTGAAATAAAAACACAGTCGACCATTAATCTTTTTATGTGATATGTAAAAAATAACATTTGAGTATTTTAGTTTAAGTTTATATATATTGGACATTTTCAAAACATTCTCAGAAGTGAGAATTTGTGGCTTCTTTTTAACCTAAAAGGAGATAAGGTGGTCTTTCTTCTACCATATTCTCCTTTGCTGAATATTTAAGACATGTGCAGCCTTAAATCCTCTGAAATAAAACACTCTCTGTCTCACAAACAGGTCCGGTACAAAGGGACAGGACGGTGCTGCACTGCCAGTTCTGCGGGAAGCGAGGCCACGCACACAACTTCATGCGGTCCAAACGCTTCTGCTCCACTTCCTGTGCACGCGGGTGAGAATCAGAAACACAAAGAGAGAGCAGCTAATGCAGCCTGTGACCTTCAGTCTCTGTCTCTGAGCTGCAGCTGTGTGTTCATGGGTGTTGCTGCGCTGGCAGGATGTGGTGTGTGTGGCCGGTGCATAACACACACAGGTGGTACATGCACAGTGTGTGTGAATTCAAACTATTTGTATTTCTGCCTCAGGTTTAACGTGCGTCTGACGAAGCGTCTGCGGGCTCTGAGCGCAGGGAGCCGGTCTGAAAGGCCCCGACCCGCTCTGAACAGGGCCGAGTCCGTCCCGGGGAAGCCTCTTTTACTGAGACTGGTAGGGACCCTGAACTCACCACCAGTTTAAAATAAAAACTAACACTCACTACACAAATTACCACGAGTTTATCTCATATAAGTGACCTAGGGTGCAGCAAAAAACCATATATTTTAAATAAATAGGTTTCTTATACTCTTAGGACATTATCTTGTAAATAATCTAGCGCCACCCTAAATAATTTATTTCAGTTTTTGCTTGTTTCTCTTTTCTTAACAACTCAAATGATTGTGTTTAATTTGCAAAGAGACAAAATGCACAATAAAAAAAGTTTAAGATGTTTTTTTTTTATTCACACTAACTTTAAACAGCAGGGGGAGACATTTGAAAACTAGTATTAATATTTAAAAAATACATATATTATACAAATAATAATAATTATCAATAACTAAAAGTACTCAAATTAAAGAAAAATAAGAACACTTAATACAATTTAAATAAAATGAAGTTTGTATTAGTTCAATTAATCTGTAAAATATGTTCATTTATAAAAAAGAATAATCAGAGCTGCCAGACTGAGACTTATATATATAGTATAGTATAAAGTATAATATTAACAAGACACAGATAAATGTTTGGGGAATAAAAAGAGAACCCAAATATAAAAAGAGACAAATCCCAGAACTGTTGTCAATATTAAAAACAACCACGCCAGAATGATAAAAGTCATCATGTCAACATTATTCAAAGAAGTAATTCAGATGAACAAAACACAACAAGATGCAGACCACAAAACTACAAAACAACTCAAGCATGTTAGCATAGTAACACTTAGCTTGTGAGCTAGCAACGATGGTTGTTAACCAACATGCAGCTAGCATATAGCATATAGCCTAATGTTTAGCACGTTTTGCTGCTGCTAGCATGTCTTTATGTTCAACTGTATTCCATGATTAAACTCATCAAATGAGGGCCTTTCAGTTTGCTGTAAAAGTCTGCAGTTAAATCCTCTTCTCAGTCCTCAATGTTTTCACCAAAATACACCTCAGTGCTCACACAGGTGTTATTAAAGAGCCTCAATGTCTTAAGGGATTTGTAGTTCTGAGGGCTCTTTTTAAACTATTTGGTTTAAGATTGAGTTATTTTACTTTTGAGTTAGCCGTTAATACTTCTGTACTTTTTGCAGCGGTGAAATAAATATTCAGATGTTTCAGTTAAAGTGTTAGTAACACCATGAAAACAATCACTTTTAAGTGAAAGTCATTAAAGTACATTATTATAATAAGTAAAAATAAAGTATAGAGAACGTATCTAAAGTATTATACAGGACAAAACATCAACAATATTTTAAAATAAGTAAAAGAAAAATCAACAACATCAATTTTGAAAAATGACCAAACAGTTAATAAAATAGTTGCCAATTGTTTTGTTGTCTACTGATTGGACAGGCTGTCTCTCTTATATCTATATATCTTTTGTGACATTTCATTTGTAACACAACCTAATATTTTAGTTTTTTTGTATTTAAATGTTTTGTATTTGTTTTACTAAGGATGTCAAGTACTTTAATTTGAAATAAGGTACATTACTCAAGATTCATTTGTAAGAAAACATCGCATTTAAAAACTCTTAGTATTTTTTGTAGAATGAATCTTAATATTTGAAGTAACTTGAGCTGTCGGATAAGTAAAAGTACAATATTTACCTCTCAAAGGAAGTAAAAGTATAACAAATGGCATGAGAACGAAAACCTCAAGTAAAGCACATGTATCAAAGAGCATTACTTGAGTACATGTACTTAATTACATTTGAGCAAGATCTTTAAGTATTAAAATAATAACAGATTAACTCACAATTCTTCTGCAGCCTCGTGATCTGTGGAGCGCCGGGCGGCGAGAGAAGGAGGGGAAGGAGAAGGCGACGGAGGCAGAAGAAGATGAGGAGGAGGAAGAGGAGGAGGAGGAGGAGGGGGGGGAAGAAGAGGAGGAAATGGAGGGAGGAGGAGAGGAGGAGGAAGATGATGAGGGGGAAGAAGATCCTGCTGTCGCCATGACGGCCAGGATGGAGCGGCGGGCGGCGAGGAGAGCGAGGAGGGCATCCGCCCCCCCGCTGACCACGCCCACCCCCAAACCAACAAGCACCTTCAGACCCCCCCCCACCCAGTGGAGCGTGGAGGAGGTCACCGCCTTCATACACACACTGCCAGGTACACTTCAAATAAAGGCTTTAGATCAGAAAATTATAATTGTAAATGTAATGGGTAACAATCGGTCTAAACATGACAAACTTTAAGTATGATCCTTTTTCTGGGATGACCGGGATTTTTTAAGTTTATAGAACAAACAATTCTTCTTAATAATTGTCTCTGCGACCTTAGGGGAAAAAGGCAGTTTGATTTACACAAAATAAAACAGTATAAAATGACTCCACTGTCATTCAGTCTGATTTACACTCGAGTGTGTTAATCATGAGCAGATGACATGCTCTTCATCCAATTAAGTGTTTCGCAAAATACTGAAATCAACCGCAGGCTGAGGCAGCATATTTTCATCCTCCACTGTGAAACATCTGGAAGAAAATCTGAAGAGTGAAACACAAGTGTTAAAGTATCTGCTCAGAAACACAGAAGAGAGTTTAGAAGGTTTAGGTAATTTAAAAACATTTTCAATAACCTGAACATATCTGGCATAATTTTTGGCTTAAAGAAACACAAACTAATTGAGAAAATAATCAACAATGAAAATAATCGTTAGATGCAGTGCCTAACGCTTTAAGATTTTCACAGTGTTACAAAACTGTAAAAAGTATATCTGTTTTAAAATGAAAGCTACAGCTTATTTATTTGTGTTTCAGGCTGCAGCACCAACACTTCGAGAGCTGAAAATATTAATTACTTTTCAATTAACATAGCTCTAAAGATTGAGCAGGGGATTTGAAGAAATGTACAGTATAATGTATGAAGAATATGCGCAATTTCCAGTGATAATAAAAGGGCAAATAAGTGTGCATTAATGTTTTGCTTAGAGACACATCAACACCTTGTTCAGAATAAGCTGTTTAGAGGATGGAAGTGTGTTCTTAAATATGATCCGATCTCATCTTTTTCTCCGTGTTTCAGGCTGCAGCGACGTGGCCGAGGCGTTCCGGCTGCAGGAGATCGATGGCCAAGCTCTGCTGCTACTCACTGAGGACCATCTGATGACCAGCATGAACATCAAACTTGGACCAGCACTCAAGATCTGCGCTCACATCAACACACTGAAAAACCAATGAGAGACTAAAACAGACAAAAAATCAAGCAATGGAGGAAGTTAAATGTGAAGAGAAAGGAGAGTTTTTATGAAAAGCTGACACCAAGGATGACAGAACAAAGTCACAAAAAGAGATTCACGGTAATTTATGAGATTATAAATCAAGGTGTGGCCTTAGGGAACAGAAAAAAAGTCCGGAAGAAATTCAATCCGTTCTGGGGCTGTAGCACGAGAGATTTTTGTAACTTTGTGTATATTTTACATGCCGCTGGAGAGTGTAAATTTGAAGCTATTTCATGAAGGATTTTGAACATTTAATATATAAAATTTGTCTATTTAGTTTTTTTAGAATGTGACGTCAACGACAAATCTATTCAGTAGCTAACATAACCGGTGTGTGTAAAAATAATAATAATAATAATAATAATAATAACACGTAGACTTTGTAAGTGATTCATGAAAGTTTAATGTTTTATATCACTATATTCTGGACAAAAACATGTCTGAGGATTAAAAAAAAGTCACTATCAGGGTAGAGGCTGGTGTCTTTAATCATCACATTTTTATGGTATCATGCCTGAAATTATTTAATAAATGAATAATTAATCAAAACGATTGTTTTATCTTATTGTTTGAATAGAAAGAAAGATGTTTTACACCAACAGAGGGCCACAGTGAGACAGGTAAGTGATATATGAAGAGAAATCTGTACTTTGTTAAATAAACTAATATGAATTCATGTCACAAAGTTCCTCCCGGTGACCCAAAAACCTCAAATATGTGCCAAATATTCCAGGTCTGTCTGCTTTTCTGATGAATTCAGGTTTTTGTTTTTCTATCTTTCCATATCTGGTTTAGGTTAGGATCTCACATGAGCTCTGATTGGCTTAAAGTGTGGAGTGAGGGTAGGCATTTCACCACACCCTATAATAAATCTTATTAGGCATTTTTCTGCGGATCAACCTCAGGCACATCAACGGGACATAGCAGGATTATTTTCTTCTTAAGTTTCTGATCTAAAATACTTATTTTTTCAAGAAATTACATTTTAATTTGTATAAATCAATTGCATTTTTTTGGAGCAATATTGGGGAACTTTTCATCTTTTTATGAGCAGAGTAGAGAAAAGATACAAATTGCACTTTTTACTTCTGCGTTTTGAGTCGAGTTTTTTAGTCTTTTGTAAAATAAACTAGACTTTTAAAAGTATCTGCAAGGAGAGAGAAAAAACTCTATTTAAAACACAAATTTGTTGAAAAGAATACGGATTTTTAAGATTTAGTGTGTTTTTAATCGGCGCCTAATTACGCACGGCAGCTCCATGGCGCACATGTGCAGGCTGATGACCGGCAGCGCGGCCAGCTGTGCGGGCTGGGTAGGGGTCATCGTCGCCACGGCCACCAACGACTGGGTCCGGACCTGCGAGTACGCCCTGGCTACCTGCATCCGCATGGACGAGCTCGGTACCCGGGGACTGTGGGTGGAGTGCACGATCTCCCCGGCGCTGTATCACTGCCAGGCGCTCAGCCAGATGCTCAGCCTGCCCGGTAACATCACTATTACCTTATCTTTTTAATTAAATTGTGGGTCGGTGTTTTCCGTTACCTTATAATTACCTGTGAGAAAAATGAGAAAAAGTCATTAACCTAATCTTAGTATTGAAATGTGACCTGATTACTTTCTGTTACTTATGGATTACCATACCAAAGATGATTAATTTAAAATACAGTGCAAATAAAGATAAAATAAAAATAAATACCATACATTTCAAGCATACAGTATTTTTGTTTACAAATCAGATCACAAAAATAGCATAATAATACAATTTAAAAAGAATGAAAGAATCCTAGCTATCCCAAGTTTTAAATTACAATATAGTATAATTCTCCAAGTATTAAACTGTAAATTAGATGTGGGCTCTTTGGATAAATATAAACAGCTGAAAGGCACCGTTAAGAGATCAATACCTTTATTTGCATCCTGATTACGCAATCCCGTTACATGTAATCCGTTACTCTCTAAACCTCATTCAATCTTTTTACGAGTTTGTGAATAACACCCCCCCC